CCATGACCCACCAGGCGCTCTACGTCAACGTGGAGACGCAGGTGGCCATCGCCGCCATCATCCTCACCGGGGTCTACGTCCTCATCATCTTCGAGGTAAGTGTGATGCTACACTCCTCTAAAGATGATGAACGAGATACAATACTTATTGTATTCAGTATTGTATTCAGCAGTGGCGAGCCGTGAGCTTTATACCTAGGCCCTCTGACCCCCGGCAATTCCCTCGAAAAAAAAGAAAAAAAAAAGAGTTATTACGTCACAGCGTATACTTCAGCGGAATATCAAAACAACGGCCCAGGGTGCAAAACGCATCAATGACAGCGACCCTCTACCACACAAAACAACACCTGTGAACCCAATTTGTGTTCTTTGACATTGAAAATGATATTGCATTGTGTTTGTTACTTTCGTTGCAGTTGTATGTCTTAAGTGTAATTTGGCATGCTTTTATTTTGAAGGCGAGTTCACGCTGTTGACAGGAAGTTGTTGTTGCTATGGAAACAAGAAAAGTTTCACAGCGGGCGGATCTTGTCATAAAGTCTGCGATAATAAAACCCACCCATTTAGAGGGAAGATATGATTGGTCAATTGTACTGTCATTTGACATTACTCTCTCGTTCAGTTACTATAGCGGGCCCTCTGTTAATCGCAGAGAGGGCCAGACGAGCTTCTTTCATGTAACCCTTCACATTCAACAGAGACTGAACAGGCAGATTCGAAGGATTTATTTCTTTGGAAATTTTATTTTAAATACAATTAAATCAAGTTTTTTTTCGGTAAAACTAATGAAAAATATAACAAAAATAATATTAAAAAAATATATATTTAAAAAAAATATATATTTTTTAAATGTTTTTAAATATTATTTTTTAGAATATCTTAGGCCCTCACAGAGGGCCTAGAGGGCCCTGACGGCTCGCCACTGGTATTCAGTATACAGAGTAAACTGCAGTTTATTGCAGTGGCACGAGGATCAGCTCTTATAACTATCGCTTATCACAGATCTGAGCTTTTTAATAATGGGAAGCATCATGCTTGAGAGGAGTGATGAAGGAGCATAATCTGTAATATCCCCAGACCGTTTATAAAGCAATATCCTCCTGAAATTCTTAATTTAACGATTTTTTGCAGAGAAAAGAGGGAAAAAAACAAAAAAGGACGCACTCACCTTTCCTGTTTCTGCTCCTATAAATCAGATTTTCTTTTGGTTGGGATGTAGTATATCAACTAATCTTAATTTAATGACAAAATAAAAAATAAAACATTAGCACCTTGAGAAACATACAGGGTCATAACAAGGCCACATAAAATAAAATACCACAAAAACATAATGTAAAAAACAAAAATATATAAATAAAACAAGCTGAAGCTTTGCGTCAATTCCTATCAAATAATATCAATTATTTCAATTAATTAAAGGCAATAAATGCATTTGCATTAGTTCCAAAATTAGATGTAACTGATAATATATATTTTAACATGTTATATTTGCCTTTAGTTAGCGCATGTATTTGGACTGTAAGCGAATGATATCAAGAGATAGTGGTTGTTACTTGTTAACTTTTATCCATTGTCGCCTTGTTTGATTCAGAGGCCTTAAATAAAGTGTTAATGGTGAATATTTTTTTATGTTTCAGGTCGTTCACCGTACTCTGGCGGCCATGTTGGGATCTTTAGCAGCATTAGCCGCTCTAGCTGTCATCGGGGATGTAAGTCTCTTTTTGATCTTTAAGCTATAAAAATAAGTGTTAGGCTTAAATCCAAACAGTTTATTCTTCTAATGTATCTTTGTTTCTGTATATTCTGCACAATTTGAATCATTTTGTATTTATTAGGTGTCTTTCTCCACGTGTTTAATCGTAATGCTAAGTCTGCTAACTCTCATCTGTTAGCTTGTTGTTAGCTTTGTTTCTAATGGAGACTCTTAAATTTACAATTACAATTAACAATAAGTACAATTTGTCAAAGTGTGAGTTGTCAATCTGCCTTCATTTTTAGAAAACAAATAACAACGTCTTGAAATTAGCCAGAAAGTTATTTAGTTTAGTAGTAGTAAGTTAGCTAGCTACGCTTACTGTGTGTGAGCAAGGCCATCTTCATAATTTCCACCTGTGCTTTTCCTGCAAGTCAAATGTCAGCTTCAGATACATTTACCAAAGTATTTAGGGAAGTTTAGTACTGTAAAAAAAGTTATTGTAAATGAATTGAATGATTTGTTTATTTGTCAAACAGCGGCCCAGTCTGGTGACGGTGATGGAGTGGATCGACTACGAGACGCTGGCTCTTCTATTCGGCATGGTTAGCCTTTACAGTTCAATTATGTATTTCATTTATTTACTCTAGTGAAGGGAATTACGGCTCTTTGAAGGGAGCCGGATCTTATGGCTCCGTTCCTTTCCGAGAGCCGTTCAAAAGAGCCGTTTTAAAAAAAAGGGGTTAATAGGTTTATCTGCGAAATAATCACCAGGATAATGATTGACTGTTTTGCCAGAAATCTACTTTTACTCACAGAAAATGTATACAGTAACTTGCTACATCTCTCAGCCAAACTACTACTCAAGCAGCATGCGTTATGCCACCATCTATCTACGGCAAATTTGCATTCAGGAAAGCAAGTTCCTTTAAAGGCGAGTGGATTTATGGCAGGCAGGGAACCAACGATAAAAAGAACGGCTCTCGCCAAGTACGACTCGGTTCCCTTCGTTTGTACCAAAGAGCCGTTCAAAATAATCAGATCGTTCGCGAACGTAACATCACTAATTTACTCATCGAAAGTCCTCTTTCTAAAGCCGTTTTAGATACCACTTTTGATTGCAATTTGAAAATAAAAAAGCTTTTCTCCTACAGTAATGGCCATTAGATTTCAATGCTTCTCTTATAGAAATGATAGTGCAAGTATCAGGGTTTTGTCTAAACCAGGTAACAAGGGCTTTGCACCCTCTTACTTTTGGCGTGCACCCTCATACCAAAATGCAGATTTTCCCCGTAACATTTTAAAGTGATGCCAGAATACAATATTTCTGTTCATCAAAAACTGTATAATAACTAAACAAATATGAGAATCGTGTCAAACAGACCTTCAGACGACAGAGACAGCTTTGTTTTTACGGAGCTCCGACATCGTTTTGTTGTTCACGTCCGCGGCGCCATCTTGTATTACGGGCGTCATGTTCTCGAGATAATCTATGTATATAAATACAAGATCAGCGCCACAGTATTGCCCTCATACTATATCTTTCTAGAAAAACCCCATTGAAAACAATATCTTAAAGGTCACATATTATGCAAAATCCACTTCTTCATGTCTCTTCTTCATCAACATGTGTCCCCTCTTCTTCATGTCTCTTCTACATCAACATGTGTCCCCTCTGTGTAAAGAGATTCTGAAAGTTTCAGGAAAAAATATTCTCTCTCTTTTTGTCCTGATCCATTTATATAAAAACCTGTCTGAAAATGAGCTGATCAGATTTTGGCCACTTTATAATGTCATAACGATTTTTTGGCTTGTGTAACCATTAGCCAATCACCAACCAAGGTAACCCCCCCCCCCCCCCCCCCCCCCCCCCCCCGACTCTCCTCCTAGATTTCGAGCCAAACACTTCAGAGACATGTTTTGTATATATCTGAAACCTATAATATACAGTATTGACGAAAAACAGTATAATAGGGGACCTTTAAAGTCCTTAAGATTGGGGTCATCTTTCTGACTGAATGTGAGCACCATCTTGTTTTTTGTGAGGACAATTTAAACCATATATTAGAGTGGCCTACTGTATAATCTTATTGCATAATGATAAGTGTTTTACTTAATTAATGTATTTATTTTAAACAAATGTGTCTTCCAGATGGTGCTGGTGGCCATTTTCTCCGATACGGGCTTCTTTGATTACTGCGCTGTGAAGGTGAGTTTTCTTTCAGGAAATAAAGGTGTGACGTTTTGAACATAAAGGTCAGGTATTATATTTATATTAGTTATATATATATACATATTATCTGCATGTGGCATACTGAGTGACAGGTCTATGGAAGCAGCTGCCCCCTGTCTTTGAGCTATTCCTGAAATCAGCGCTGACACATGACAAGGCTGCAGATTTGATGTTGATTTATTTGACATGAGCAGGATTTAGGACGACCTTATAATAATATCCAACCTGCTTTGATGCTTTTCTTTACATCCTGAATCAAAACTCAGCACTATAATAGTCTGAGAGAAGTGATGTTAGCTTTGTTTAGAGGCAAAGATCACAAAACTGGGCCATTTTAGTATTTCTCATCTAGAAAAGACAGTCTCACACTTACAGGCAGGCGAGCTATTCGTCCGTGTCAGTGCTGTTTATCAGGAAGTGCTTTACTGTATAAAGTAGTTCAGTCAGACAACTCACGTGTTTCTTAATATGTTTATAAGAAGCAGCATATAGTTTGAGTTTGGCGTCTAGGCTCGGGCCTCATCACTCCACAGATTTACAAAGAACATTGAGTGATGATTAGATAACGGATGCTGGGGTGGAAGCTGGGGTGGAGCTGGGGTGGTGGTGGGGCAGGCGAGCAGCAGCAACATGAAACACAGCAGCAGGAACATGAACGTAGCAATAGCAAGTGAACACAGCAGCAGCAGCATTAAGGAGGCAGAGGCAGGAAGACCTGGCAGCTTAAATAGAGCGGCATGTTTAGGAGAATGTGTTTGGTTGGTTGTAAGAGGGACGAGGTGCGTCACGTGTTAATGTATCATTGGTGCTCGAGTTGACTGCCTGAACTCGCTCGCAGGCTTCGCCCCATTTATTTTTATGAAAATGCATTTATTATGGAAGTGGTTACGGATAGTTTATGAGACAATGGTCCCCTGGGCACAGATATGTAAAGGGCCCGCCACCCTTATTATGAAAAGAGCCAAAGATTCAAAGAGACAATTATTTGGTCTTTTTGTAGAGGTTTTGCATCTCTTCGGGGTCTTTCTGTTTGTGCTTTATTAATGTATTTATTTATTTCTTGTGTCTCTCCGGGTCATGTTGTGTCTTCTGGTGTTCATTCTGTGTCTCTTTCGGGTCATAATGATCTTTTTGAAGAGGTTTTTGTATCTCTGTATGGTTATTTTGTGTCTGTTTTCTTGTTGTGTCTCCTGATGCCAATTTGTTGTCTCTTTTGGGTCCTCCTGATCTTTTTGTGTCTCTTTTTGTTGGATTTGTACTTTTCACGTTTCCTTTGAATCTCTTTGTGAACTTGCCGTGTCTCTCGTGTCTCCTGATGTTATTTTTGTGTCTCTTCAACTTTTACAAATCTTTTATGCATCTCTTCGTGGTCTTTTGGTGACTCTTATGGGTCATTATGATCTTTTTGCCTCGCTGGGGGGTCTTTTAAGTATCTGCTTATGCTTACATTTTGTTTATTTTGTTCGTTTTGAATCACTTTTTGCTTGCCTTTTATCTATTTGGGTTTCTTTTTAATATCTTTGTGAACTTCTTGTGTATCTTTGTGGTTGTGTTGTGTCTCCTGATGTTACTTTTGTGTCTCTTTGTAGACATTTTGAGTCTCTTTATGACTTTCCACAACAAGAAATGTTAGCAGTAACTTCAAACAAAGAAACAGGCCCAGTGGGGAGTTATGTGTAAATCCATTTTATACGGCTAATTGTGAAATGTACCTCTTTTAGCTCTATAGAAGTGTTAGCATTCAGGCACTTATTTAATAGACACTTCACTTTTACTCAATGAAGTGAATCAACACATCTGCTTATTGTGTTTGCTTATTTTATATTAACATTGACTGGTTATTAAACCCCCTCTCTGCAGGCGTACCAGTTATCCAGAGGACGAGTTTGGCCGATGATCATCATCCTCTGTCTCATCGCTGCCATCCTCTCTGCGTTTCTGGACAACGTGACGACCATGATGCTCTTTACTCCGGTCACCATCAGGTACAGTGAAGACATTTTACATTTGAATCCCTCTACAGTACATCTCCATCATACCTTAGATCAGTGCTTCTCAAAGTGTGGTCCGCGGACCGCTGGTGGTCCGTGAGCGCCCCCTAGTGGTCCGTGAGTATATTGGTACAATTTCACATTTGAAATAAATAAATAAATGTAAGTTTTCCGCACTCTCGCGGGAATATCTCCGCAATGGAGCGAGCTTAAGTTTAGAGTTTACCATTTTCAGGCGATTTGTAATCTGTTCTAGAAAAACGATGTGATTTTGGATATTTGTGGAGTTAGGTGGTCCGCGAGTGTTTTTTTTATCTATATGCCTCCTACCTGAATCTGCTTTATGGTTTCCACTTTCTTTGGTTTATTTGTTCTGTTTTTAATTCAGCAGGTGAACCTATATGTTCATAAAATAGTGTGTGTGAGCTTAAAGGTAGGGTAGGTAAGTTTGAGAAACTGGCTCGAGATCGCTAGAATTTGAAAATACACAACCGGAGAAAATCTGCCACTTCCTTACAGAGCCCCTCCTCCAACACACACGAACGCGCACATGACCAATGAGGGCACGAGATAAGTTTGTGCACAGATGGAAGGCTGACAGGCAGGTAGGCCATCCAGTTATTTTAGCCGGGCCGGCTGATTGGTCGTACTTTTTACAGTACTACAGCTTCCACAGATGACATTTTTTTTATGGATTTTTTGTCAAAGCACTTAAGATATTCATTGCTATCGGGATGTTAAGAGCATTCCATGGAATATAACAAAAAGTGTATCTCGAGCCGGTTTCTCAAACTTACCTACCCTACCTTTAACGGTGTGTATTAAACCAAAACGGATCATTTTCTGTCAGCTCTGATTTTATTTCTGCTTTTTTAAACTGTAGTGTGTGCTCATTGATATTTATTTTCTCTTGTAATTATTTGCATGTCATATTGATGATATCCCAAAGAAACGCAGGTTATATTACTTCTATATTGTGATACTCAGATTAGGTTACATTTCTAAAGTAACCCTGCTTTCATTTTAGTAATAGTCTGAATACATTAAAGCCCCAGGAAACACACAAAAACAGAGGCTATAATTTCCTGTAGATGTACAAATGATCTGTTTGTGCGTCCCACCTCCTCTTTATCACTGCCTCTATTGTCAGCCACAGTGAACCTTTATTAAAATCTCAAAATTGCTTTAGCTGCCTGCAAAAAATAGATGATATTGAAGTTAAACTAGACCCCCGATACTAACGACACAGATGCAGTCTCTCAGGGTTGACATCCTGCATGTTAAAGAACCAGCGCTTATTATTCCAATATCCTTTTTTATATTTATTTAGCTGTAATCTAATCGTGTCTAAAGGGCTTTTGTGTCTCTATCTGATGGTGCAGGTTGTGCGAGGTGCTTAATCTGGACCCCAGACATGTCCTGATTGCAGAAATAATCTTCACCAACATTGGGGGGGCCGCCACAGCTGTCGGAGACCCGCCCAACGTCATCATCGTGTCCAATCAGGCGCTGCGGAGAGAGGTATGCACCGTCAAAACCTGTGATAATACATTGTGAGAGAGGAGAGGGTGTGATCTGACACCTGAAACATAATAACGGATTAATAATGATAACGAGATGAAGAGAAAATCCACTTTTTGAGATGTACAGATGACGCAGCTCTGACACGTCATCAGAAATGTTTTCAAGTCATTTTTATTCTTGGCTTTTTTTTTGCTTTGGTGTTAATCAATAATTCTAAAAGGTGGTGATTTTGGAATTGAGCACAAATATACAGTCTCTTTCTCTGAACTCTCTCTGTGTACTCTGGTATTTGAGTTCTTTTTAATATTTATGTAAACATTGGAGTCAAGAAGTTAAAGTAAAAATGTGCGACAAAAAGGTTTAAAAAATAAAACAGAATTCAAAATATTAATACAAACATGAAAAAGTAGTCATTTGCAAAAAAGAGTAAATAGAATAATTTTTTGAATACAAACAAAATTTGCTAAAGAAAGATAGAAATTAAACTAAATGGGAAACAAAATATTTATATAAACATAAAAAGTAAACGTAAAAATTGTGCAATAAAAAGGTTAAAACAAAATCAAATAGAAATGTGTAGTGAAAACATAAAAAAATAGAACAATAGTATAATATTTAAAGTACGAAGTCAAAGTGACAATATGCACTTTCTCCTGTCTCATGTTTCCTATAGAGGTCACTATTAACCACTTTTCATATTACTGAATATCTGCGGTTCAAGTATTTATTCTGTTAAGTACATTACATTACATGTCATTTGTTAGACGCTTTTATCCAAAGCGACTTACATACATTCAGTGCTGTGGACAATCCCCACAGGAGCAATTTTGGGTGAAGTGTCTTGCCCAGGGACACAACGACATGCTGACTGCAGTGGGACTCGAACTTGCTACCCCCTGATTCGAAGTCCAGCACTCTATCCACAGAGCCACAGCCGCTCGTAAAATAAATAAAGACTTTATGAAACAATCACCCTAACATCTTCAGGTTCAGATTATTAGCTTCTACAAAACTTGAAGTCATTTAAGATACGAAATTGGCCATTACACATTACGAGTACTTTTGGTGCTTTAAGAGAATTTGAATCCAACACTTGTATTCTTATTAAAGTACGATTCTAAATGTATTTTTATAATTTGACATGGTCTTATAGAGTATTTCTTCCTCGCTAAATGTACATTTCTGCAGAAGCATTGATGATCTTTGTGTCCGAGCTTCTGCAGAACGCTCTGCACTAACTAATCTGAATGAAATCTCCAGAGATGCTGTTTATGTCTGACACACTTTTTCTCTCTTGCAGGGGATTGATTTTGCCAGCTTCACAGGCTACATGTCCCTGGGAATAGTCATCGTCCTCTTCTCCTCATTTCCTATGCTGCGGATGCTCTACTCGAACAAAAAGCTCTACAACAAAGAGTCCATTGAGATAGTGGGTGAGTTCACGCTGTCACTGCGCTGAAATGTGAAGAGTAAGGTGCTCTGGAAGTGGCAGAAGCTAAAAATCAATTTGCTTTTGATTATGAGATGGAGGTGTCTTAACCCCCCGCACTGCAGAAACTCACCTCCTCAGGCGATGCAATGACCTCATAGAAACGTCATTATACACATTATTATATCCTGCGCCCTCTAACCCCAACACTTGATGTATATTGCTCACTGAATTAAAGAGCTCCCCCCCCCCTGTGTGTGTCGCAGGTAATTGTAGTATTGCTTCACATTGTCCTCATTGTGATGGAAATTCTCTTTTGAGCAATTATACTGGAAAGAGCCTGCAGGAAGCTGCTGTTTCACTCCTAAAGGTTTATTAAAGAGGCCCCGTTGTGCTTTCCTGTGGTGTGTTATATAGGTTTTTGTGCATATAAATGGTCTGCAAGACTAAGGCGCCGTTTACACGAGGAGAAAACTGCTTGTATCTGCATAGTTTCGCGTGCGTATAGCCCTATTATTTACACGAGGCCGATAGAAACTGACCCCACAAACAATAACGGGTCCCAAGGTGGATAGATTTGCAAACGAAACGCTCTGGGGGGTCAACCGAGTCCGTGTAATCACCTCTATACGAATATTTCCTGAAAAAATAGCGATAGCCCCGCCTCTCCCCACCTCTCCTGCTCACTGCTGTAGCAACTATCAAAAATAGCTGTGTTAATTAAACGCACAAGGGGTTCTTGAATGAAATAATATTATAAAAGGCAAACCAGAATTGTTAACGCCCAATATACTCCTTAAACAAAATAAACAGAGTCAGATTTCATGCATTGATCCATTATATTGACAAAGGAGCATCTCACCCGGTGTTTGTAGAGAATATCTCTCTCTTTCTGAGCCGTCCTCTCCACGGAGACGTGCTTCTTGGTCGGGATGCAATATCCACAGATTCGGTTTCTTTCAGTTTCAGTTTCAGTTTCGGGGCTTAAACAGAAGGGTAGCCATGGCAACATTGCAGCGGGGCTGCTCGGGTTGCTCTTCTTCGCGGCTTTTGGTGTATTTTGGCGGAAGTTACAGCGCCACTTACAGTCCCGGCATATGTACTACAGCGTTTCCAGCGGCCTCGTTTGAACAGACACGTTAAATGAATCAAATGCATGTGAACGGAAGACTTTTTTGAATACGCATACTGTGCATAAACGCAAACGGTCCCGTGTGAGAGGGGCCTAAAATCCCCAATAGGCGCTTTCACACCGGAGTACTTTTCCCACTTTAGTTCCGATATAGTTCAGAAAATGTGCGTTCGCACCAAAAATATCCGGAACTAGAACTTAGTTCATCAGAACCTTTTTACCCCCTTTTCCGTCCCTGCTAGAGAGCAGGTACTTTCATGGGAGAAAAGGGTTCCTATTTCTGATTGGCTGGGCGGATTGCAAACCACCCCCCCGTAAAACTCCCAAAAAGTTTTGTGAAGCCGCCATTTTCTTTTCTTCGCATTAACATTAGCATTAGCATTAGCCCAGCGCACAAACGCAGAGAGAATAACTTATGGCAACACAAAATAAAACATGGGAGCGGTGGAGATGAGGAGGTGTCGGTGTTTCTGGCGATTTACTCGGAAGGCTTCGGAGTCCCAGCAGATTCTACTGAAGCCAGTCCCCAACTCCGGGGACTTCTGGCCGGGGACTTTGGGCGGCAGTATACGCCGTGAAGTTGTTTGCGGCCTGCCAGTAAACCCAAAGCAGAAGAAGAAGAAGTGATGTCAGTGGCTTAATTTGCCTAATCCTCCTCCAGGGACTTATTCCGGTGTGAACGCGATGAACTAAAGAGTTCTGATGAACTAAGTTCTGATGAACTATTGTGGGAAAAGTACTTGGTGTGAAAGCGCCTATTGTCCTTCCATCCAAACGCCTCCATTGGACTCCTTTGTTTACTTCAGTAACATAGTGACATCACTATTTAACACTCGCGCTCCTATTGGCTGGCGCTCCAACACATTGTGCGTGACAGGCTAAGGGGTGGGACATCTCTAAGCGGTTTACCAATCTCAACAGAGCCGGCCAGCTAACCAATCAGAGCAGACTGGGCTCTGGTTTCAGACAGAGGGTGAAAAGAGCTGCTGCAGCACAGGCAGTATGAGAAAAATAAAGAGCTTTTTGAACATTAAAGCATGGAGACATGTCCCAGTAGAGACACTAAATAATATGAACCTGAAAATAAACAGAATAGGGCCTCTTTAAAAAGCTAGACCGAGTATGCAGTCAGATTTAATGCCACCTTCTATTCAACAAGCTGTTCTCGACTATGCCTACAACACCCCGGGGATTTAGATAATGGGCAAAGCAGTAAAACAGGGATATTCCTGTAAGAATTGATTAGCCAGAAATACAAACACCTCTCAGCAGTGTTTACCTATACTCGTGCAGAGAGACGCTCAGCAGGGGATCATTTAAACAGAGACCCCCCCCTCTCCCCAATCACTGCTCACATTTAAAAAGAGAGAGAGGAACTGTTGGGAGCTTTGTGTCCCACTGAGCTCCATGCAAACTGAAGGGAGTCCCTGCCAATCTGTCAAATGTAACCCTGTGGAGGTTCCTCCTCTCCCTCTAACCTGGCCTAACAGATAAAGGTCAAACAGAATGTAAATATATATGTTTTATATTAGCTAATAATCCGATCTGACTTGACGCCTTTTTTTTTTATCCCAGGGGTAATTGAGTTTTGTAACACAGGTTAATAAAAAAAAAATATATATAGTAAAATATCTAATTAAAGAAATAATAAAATAAAATGTAAATATTTATACAAACATAAGAAGTTGTAGTAAAATAACTAATTAAAGAAACAATAAAATAGAATAAAGAAGATATATACATGTATATAAACGACGTTAAGGTACAAATGTGCACATTGTACTACAACATATGTATAAATGTGTCTGTTGATTGTGTATATATAGGAGATAGATATTTTTATAGATATTTTTATATATATTTTTATTTTTGTATTCGGGATTGTGGGAAACGGTATTTCGAACACCAAAAAGATCTGGAACTAGAACTTTTTTTTTTTGCGAACCTTTTCACCGCTTTTCAGTCCCTGTACTTTCCTGGGGAGGAAAAGGTTCCAATTTCTGATTGGCTGGGCGAATTGCAAACCACGCCCCGTAAAACTCCGAAAGGTTTTGTGAAGCCGCCATTTTATTTGCTAGCATTAGCATTATTAGCATTAGCCCCGCGCACAAACGCAGAGAGACTAACTTAAGGCAACACAAAATAAAACGTGGGAGCGGTGGAGATGAGGAGGTGTCGGCGTTCTGGCGATTTACCCGGGACTTCGGGTGGCAGTATACGCCGTGAAGTTGTTTGCGGCCTGCCAGTAAACCCAAAGCAGAAGAAGAAGAAGTGACGTCAGCGGCTTCATTTGCTTAATCTTCCCTCAGGGACTTATTCCGGTGTGAACGCGATTTACTAGATAGTTCAGGAATTAAAGAGTTCCGGGGAATTATGTTCCGGGGACTATTCCTGGGAAAAGTACTTGGTGTGAAAGCGCCTATAAAGAAACATATTTTAAAATGTAATTTAAAAACACTAATTTAAAAGCAAAGATAATAAAACATGAATAACAAAGGCACATGAATTAAAGTTACAGTGCAGTGTGAGATACACACATCTGAAATGTTTAGGTCTGACTCTCAATCATTGACCTCACTTTCTTTCTACTTTCTTTTTTAACTTATCTTTTAGTTATTTCATGCTAAACGAACCCCCCTTTGGAAAATTCTAATCTCCAACCCAATGTTCCGAAAATTCAACGGATCCTGGCCATATTTGTGTAGCATATAAAATGTATTTGCTCCCAGATATTCATGTGGCTTGCTAGTTTTGGACCCCATCTGCAACCACCTACTTGAGTAAAGTTACTTTCCGCCACTGACAGGAGGCTTTTTGTTTTGTACCTGCAGAGCTGAAGCATGAGATCCTGGTGTGGCGTCAGACGGCGCAGCGTATCAACCCCGCGAGCCGCGAGGAGACGGCGGTGAAATGCCTCCTGATGCAAAAAGTGCTCAACCTGGAGAGTCTACTGCGCAAGATGATGCACACCTTCCAAAGGTTAAAAGAAAACACAAAACATACATCTGTCATTCTCCAGGATATTTGCATCACCGCTCACAGAAACACATTTCGTTATTTTCTTTTATGTTCAACGATGATATCATTTTCTTGTTGTTGCCAGAGATACACATCCTTTACTCAAGTAGAAGTACAGATACTCATGTTTAAAAATACTCTGGTAAAAGTAGAAGTACTGACTAAACTTCTTTACTCAAGTAAAAGTAAAGAAGTATGGGCTTTGAAATGTACTTAAGTAAAAAGTACCCATAACTCCCAGCTGCTTTAAAGAGTACCTGACCTCCCTTTATATTAATAGAACCATAATGTCATTGTTAGCTAATGAATGTTTCCATGCTGAACAACGGCAACATGACAACGTTTTCATTGGTCCCTCTTCTTTAGAGAAGACCAGGAAATGATGGATACACGGATCGTGTTCAAATCAATAGGCACGCAATGACTCTAAATAATAATGATTACGCCACCAGACACACATTCAAACTAAAGGAACCAGCCTGTTTGGAAAATGTAAGAAGTAGAAAGTACAGGTATTTGTGTTCAAAATGTAAGAAGTAAAAGTAAAAAGTATTCAGAAAAATAAGTAGTGGAGTAAAGTACTGATACCAGAAAAATGTACTCAAGTACAATAATGAAGTATTTGTACTCTGCACTGCTTCCCACCTCTGGTTGTTGCCTATAGTCTCGATAAAGACATTCACTATTAACCACAGAATTCAGTATTTATAATAGTATTTTTGGTGACCCCTTGCTACATCTAATGAATGCTTAAGAATGAACATTTAGCTGAGTTTATTTATAAAAACCCGACATTGTATTTTGCAATTGAATGTTTGGTCAAAAACAACTGAGGGAGGACAAGCAAAGGAAGTCCAAGAATAATCCATATTATCCAAATGACACACATAGTAATTATGGCACAAATACCATATACAACACTGGGAATTATGGGCAACAAACAACTAAAAACAGCACACCATTCATTATGTATTCATAAACAGCTGCTAGAGGCACAGTGTTTCACATCTTAATACGATTTCAAAAGCCTTAAGACAGGGATTAGTCCAGAATGCAATGTATTTTTGTGCCTTAAACACTACAATATGAGTTTAACATGTTTCCTGTGTCCGACAGAGAAATTGCTCAGGAGGATAAGAACTGGGAGCAGAATATTCAGGAACTGCAGAAGAAGGTAAGCGTTTATTCTTCCCCTTCAGACTCTGTGACGATGTTATCTCCATAATGAAGCTGGCCTTGTTCTCTTGACACAAAAACAATCAGTTGTGCGATAAAAACTTGAAAAGCTTCTCCCCTGTTCAGACAGAATATGTATTTGTTCTGGTCCACAGCACAGAATAAGAGACAAGGTTCTGCTGGTGAAGTGTGTGTTCGTCCTCACGGTGGTGATCTTCATGTTCTTCCTCAACTCCTTTGTTCCCAGCATTCATCTGGAGCTCGGTAAGTGCACGATTATTATAGCTTCTGTCATGTAATTATGAAACACAGCTTCCTCTGTTCTTGCATTACAAATGAGCCCCAAATAATTACATGGATACTGATCTGCATTTAGACCCAACACTTTACATCGATGTGATGCAATTACAATGGTGATGAATGGTGTAACAGCAAAATTATAATATGCACTTTTGACCAGAATTTAAGTCTCTTTTGTTACACAATGAAAAGCAGAATTGCAGCCCCTTCATCACCTGCAAATAGTTTTCTGCCACACTATCTCAAGGTCTGATCACAAAATATATTGTGGTCATGATAGTGCAAACTCGAACAAGCCTTGCAGCTGAGTGCAAAATGTGTTTTTGTGTCTGATTGCTATTATCCATGTGGCAAAGTAGTGAGAGAAGGAGAGAAAAATAAATGTTACAGGCTCAGAGTGCAACAGGTGTTGACTGACGAGGTGCAGAGACATCTAGGGAGAACTTACGGTAGAGAAAACGTCTCAAATTGACCTTAAGGATGCTGTTACAGATGAGAAAATGTGATAAAGTGCCCTCTAAGTTGCTCTTCCAGTCGAGAAAACATGATAAAGTCAAATTGTGGTTCCCTTCCAGAAACATAATAACGTATGCTAGGGTGTCCTTTGAGTGGAGAAAACATGAATAAGTTCCCTACCGGGTTCCCTTCCAGTGGAGAAAGTGCAATTGGGGTGGTGATAAAACTGGGAAAATATAATGCTGTGTCATCTAGGCCAGGGGTTTTCAAAGTGTGGGAAGGTGAGCCTTCCCTCAGAGAACATAAGAACAGCCGCACCCCCCCTCCCAATTATTATTGCTATTGTTATTATTATTGTTGCTATAATGCAGGCGTATTATTATCCAGTGGAATGCCCTTACCTACTGGCCTAGTTAAATCAAAGTGGTTACTTTTTTTTGGCTGGGCAGTGTTTTACACACCGTCTTATTTGACTTTCTCAGGACTTAAAACTGTTTTTTGGGGGCAGACCCCCACAAAGAAAAAAATATATTTACCCACGTAAGGTCATCATCTTAACAGTTGTTTATGCTCATCGAGTCATCCGTGAGCAGAGCATCAAGTTGGCATGCCTATTACAGCTGAATGCGGCGATTACCATCTTGTTCAGCAATTCAATGCTCAGCGCAGCTACACTGACAGTCTCTTCTCTGTCATTGTAGACCGCAAATACCTCATTCCTTCCGTCTACTTGGGTCCGAATGCTTCTCGTTTTGCGCCGTCCCGCCAATCACATTTCCTCGCTCGCGCAAGGGCCGGGGGAGGGGTTACAAGGCTCGCGTCTTGTGCTGCATTCACTTGCACTCGGACATTAGGGATTTTCTCTCATAAATGTCCGATGAGCCACAACTTTTATTTCAAAACAAAGCTGCTAACTGGAGTGCTAGCTGGGGTGGCAAGGCTATTTTTAGGGTGGCAGTTGCCACCCCATGCCACCCTGGTAGATCCGCCCCTGCTTGACCGGTACTTGCTTTTGATCAAAGTCAATGCGGAAAACCCGCACTCACACAGGTAGGCGGAGGTGAAGGGAATGAGCACTTTTACAGCCTTTTTGGCGAGGTGGGGGAACTCGGTCTCCACAGACAGCCAAAAGTGTGCAAGTGACACTAAAAATCGATCCATGTTGCCGCTCACATTTTCATTTCATTTCAAACCTTTATTTAACCAGATTGTTCCCTTGAGATCATAGATCTCTTTTTCAAGGGAGACCTGCAGCAAATAGGTTCCACATGAAACATTAAACAACATAAAACAATAAAGGACATCATACAACATATTTACAGGCTACATTTACATATCGACATCTACAAATACCCATAGTTTCAATGAGCATTTCACTTAGACTAGCTTTAAAAACATGCAGAGCATAAAGTTAGCTGAAGTTAATTAGCTAGATTTCACTGTTTCTCGCTATTTTTTTCTCACGCTGCGCCTCCCCTGTAGCTCTTCAAAGTATGAGGCGCGCCTCCCCTCACACTTTGAAAACCGCTGATCTAGGCTATCCTACAAGCTTGAAAAGGTATTACACACTGCTGTCCTTTTTATTTTTCCTCCCTGCCTCTCAGACAGCCTGAATACGCCACTGATTCAGCTGATTTTTCCGCCTGGACAATAACAAGACATCTAAATCCTGCTTGCATATTTTGTGCATGTTAGTAATTGCAGACCTGTTGGTGAGGTGGAGGGTTATCTCTTGTCAGCCTGACACAGCGATGTCTCTGATGTGCACTCGGTGGATGACCCTAACAGCATCTCATTAATGGTAACACTTACTCTAAATGAAGATGGCTGTCATCTCCCCGCTCGCTGTGAGGACACTCAGCCTCCAAACAAGCTTGCTTAATTACAGCCGCCGCTCAGGTTCCCTCTCTGTGACATTTATTAAATGAGAATGACCCCACAGCGCCGTGTTTTCTGTCCCTGTGGAGGCGCCCATCCAAACACAATCTCATTAATGCACACAGGCCACAAGTCTTTTCACTCACAGGTGTCTTTAAAATGGAGCCTCATTAACTTCAGTCTGATTGTTGCCTGTCTTTTTTTCCCTTTATTCTCTAGCCTATCTGTTTTAGTTTGAGATACAACTGTGGTTTGCATGAAACTTAGGATAAGTGATCCGTGTGCAGAAATCAGGAGCATGAAGTCCATGAAAAAAAGGTCTAGAAATAATTTAAGCGTCCTTGGGTTTCTTGAAAGGCGCTATAAAAAAATCTAAATTATTATTAACAATAATGTGTGGATTGTTAAGTGTGAAATAGAGTGGTGCAGTGATGACGTACTGTATATTTGTAGGCCAACCCAGAAGTTAGAATTACAAAGCCTACAAAATCAATGGGATTTTATGATTGTGGAATATAATGGCGCTTTTCCACTGCAGCACGTAGCACGTGTTTAAGCGGGCCAAACCAGGCCCGCTTCCTTTTGCTTTTCCACTAGGGGTAGTTCCGGCTCAGGGCTACTTTTTCACCTTTTTTCTGGCCCTCCAAAACGAGGTTCTTACCGGGCCAACA